CAGGTGGGATCGCGAGCAGGGCCTCTCCGGATGAACGAAGTGAGCACGTGGGTTCGTAGACGGAGATGCAGTCACGCAGGTAGGCAGGTCCCAAACCATTTAGGGCTTTGTAGGTAAGCACCTGCACCTTGAATTGGGCTCGGTAGGTAAATGGCAGCCAGTGGAGCTCCTTAAACAGGAGGGTTGACCTCTCTCTGTAAGGAGCGCCAGTTAACATCCTGGCCGCCGCCCGTTGAACCAGTTGGAATTTCCGAGCCGTTTTCAAGGGCAGCCCCACGTAGAGCGCATTACAGTAATCCAATCGAGAGGTGACCAAGGCATGGACCACCCCGGCCAAATCAACCTTTGCGAGGTACGGTCGCAGCTGGCGCACAAGTCTTAGCTGTGCAAAAGCCCTCCCGGACACCGCCGACGCCTGAGCCTCAAGCGTAAGTGATGAATCCAGGAGGACTCCCAAACTGCGGACCTGTGACTTCAGGGGGAGGGTAACCCCGTCCAGCACAGGTTGCCACCCTATACCCCGATCCGGTTTACAATTGACCAAGAGGACCTCTGTCTTGTTGGGATTGATCTTCAGCTTGTTCTTCCTCAAAAGATGATTGTGTTTTGTAATTTTTTTAAACAGAGTAAACATTTTGTTGAAAGAGAGTGACTTAGATCACACAATACATTCTAAATTGCCACGTTGTGTTGGAAGAAAATCGAAACTATACTTGCACAATAAGTATGTGCCTACAAGGAGCAGAAAGTACGAAAGGATAGTGTCCTCTGCTCTATCGCTTCCTTGTCTATAGACTGATGTTCTCAGGATTTACTTTACTCCTTTTTGTTCCTCCTTTTCCTTCAACATTCACCTTACTGACCATCTACATAGGCCACATAATGTGGGGTGGCCATCTACACTACCTGTGTCCATCTCACTGCAGTGACACAATAGAATTCCAACTCTCCGGTTGGGCTGAACCTGATTCGGCCTACTGAACAGCCACTCTTACCTTTGTTGTTGTTTGTCACTGTGGCAGCATCCATGGGTTCTAGAGAGCTTCTAGCTGTTGCCAGGTACCTTTGTTGATGTCAACAAAGGCATCCACACAGCTCAGGGAAAGGAGGGGCTCTGTGGATGCTACTACACTGGCAAAAGGCAGGGGGGAAAAGGTAAGTGCCACTTCCTTCCCCAGCAGCATTGGTCTATATGAACAGCAGGCCCAGTTTAAATTAAGTAGTGTTCACAAACATTTCCTAATGTAGAACAAAACCAGGTTAAACATGTGGATGGACCCGAGTCATATAGCTGTCACTAACTAGCAAGACTGTTTGCAGACGACACCAAATTGGGAGGGATAGCCAATACTCCAGAGGACAGGAGCAGGATTCAAAATGATCTTGACGGATTAGAGAGATGGGCCAAAACTAACAAAATGAAGTTCAAAAGAGACAAAGGCAAGATACTTTGGCACGAAAAACAAAATGCAAAGATACAGAAAGGGGGACGCCTGGTTCGAGAGCAGTACGTGTGAAAAAGATCTTGGAGTCCACGTGGACAACAAGTTAAACATGAGCCAACAATGTGATGTGGCGGCAAAAAAAGCCTGCACCAATAGGAGCGTAGTGCCTAGATCTAGGGAAGTAATGCTACGCCTCTATTCCGCTTTGGTTAGACCACTCCTGGAATATTGTGTCCAATTCTGGGCACCAAAATTCAAGAGAGATATTGACAAGCTGGAATGTGTCCAGAGGAGGGCGACTAAAATGATCAAGGGTATGGAGAACAAGCCCTATGAGGAGCGGCTTAAGGAGCTGGGCATGTTTAGCCTGAAGAAGAGAAGGCTGAGAGGAGATATGATAGCCATGTATAAATATGTGAGAGGAAGCCACAAGGAAGAGGGAGCAAGCTTGTTTTCTGCTTCCTTGGAGACTAGGACACGAAACAATGGCTTCAAAATACAAGAGAGGAGATTCCATCTGAACATGAGGAAGAACTTCCTGACTGTGAGAGCCGTTCAGCAGTGGAACTCTCTGCCCCGGGAGGCTCCTTCTTTGGAAGCTTTTAAACAGAGGCTGGATGGCCATCTGTCAGGGGTGATTTGAATGCAATATTCCTGCTTCTTGGCAGGATGGGTTGGACTGGATGGCCCATGAGGTCTCTTCCAACTCTTTGATTCTATGATTCTATGACAGCCTTTTCTATCTTTCAGAGGTATCATTTCCTTAAGAAATGTCTTCTCTTTCTGTAACATGATCTTTAATGCTGATTCCAGTTGGTTGGTTGGTTGGTTGGTTGGTTGGTTAGTTAGTTTGTTGGCTGGTTGTTTGGTTGCATAGCACAAGTTGCTTCTGCTGTGTGAGAATCAGATGTATGAAAGGAGTCCAGAAGTGACAGAATAAAACCCAGAACCTCAATCATTGGCTGATACCAATGAGAAACTCCCTCCTGGGCACACAGAAGATTGGGTGATTTGGAAGGCACTGAACAGACTGAACTCTAGTACCACAAGATGCAGAGCCAATCTTAAGAAATGGGGCTACAAAATTGAATCCACAACATGCGAACGTGGCAAAGAGCAAACCACAGACCACTTACTACAATGCCACATGCACAATGGAGGACCTTCTTACAGCAACACCAGAGGCTCTTCAAGTCGCCATCTTCTGGTCAAAAGAAATCTAGCATAAAGCAAGTTTGTAACTTTGTGGTTTTTTATACTTTTTAACTGTATTCTCAATTTGCGTCTGACACAATAAATAAATATGCTGTGTTCTGTGTGCCAAGTTTGGTTCAATTCCATCGTTGATGAAATTTAGAATGCTCTTTGATTGTAGGTGAACTATAAATCCCAGCAACTACAACTCCCAAATGACAAAATCATAATTTTTTGAGTGATGGTCACTCCTTGTGTTGTGACACGTTTTGCTGCCAAATTTGGTGCGATTTCGTTCATTGGTTCTTTTGTTTTTAAGGTTTTCATTATGCACAGAGCATTTATATAGATATAGATTTGTAATAATTTTGTGCATGAAAGTTTGTGTGTACTGAAGCATCATGAAGGAAGGTGTTGCTACCTCAGCCACAATTTCGCATTTTGGAGCATTTATTATTTTGAAATTTTGCATATGGGAAGTAGATAGGAATGCATAGCATAACACTGTAAAAACCGTCTAAAAGTGAATCTCTATTTTTGCGAAAGTGGGCTTCCATCACCAACCAATTAGCTGGATCAGACAAGGTTTTTGATAAAAAGTGCCAAAGAAAACAATGGAACAGTTCAAAGGTTCCCAGGTTTCAGGGCTTTGCCTCTCTTCTCCAGGCTTCAAAGTTAGGGAAGACATCTCATGTCAAGAACACTACTATGAAATAATTTGTTTGAACTGTGTGGCATTGGTCATGTTGCTGCAAGCTGCTTTGGAGTAGCTTCAGTTGTGCTCATCTTCGTTGCTCCATCTTTGACTCATTGGTTATATTTTTATCTGAATGACAGGCTCTGGGGAACTAGTTGATGCTTGATGTATCATGTGTAATGACATCACCAGGCCTCAGTCAGTGTAACATCACTTGGCACTGTCCATAAATCTCAGGCTGTGATGTGTTCCTGACTGGCAACCATAGATGGTTATCAAAACAGGAGCTGCTCAGTGTCAGTGAGCCAAGCTGAAACAAATAGGTTACAGATGTTAGATATATCTAGTTGTTCTGGTACAGCTGTACCAGGAGCTCCAATTTTGTTTGCTTTACATTAAATGTTTGTTTGCAGTCCTAGGTTTCAGGGACTCTGCAGATAGGTGGCTTCTTTTGGTTGCAGTTACAAGGCAAGCCACCTGTCCATCATCATTAAATTTTGGTCCCGCCCCTTGCTCAGGGCAATAGGGAAGGGAGCCATTTTTCAGTTAGTCTCAGCTAGCTTAGCCAATGTACAGGACGTGTGTAAACGTCCCCTGTACAAAAGCTTCAACCTTTAAGAATTTCCAGGGTTACAGAAATTCCAACAAAAACAGAAGGAAAAGAGTCTCCAAAGACTTTCCAGGGAAACAGCCCTAAAGATCAAAGAACTCTAGCTGAAGAGACTACAGGCCTTGCTGGTAGGTCCACACGGTGCTTTGAAATGCAGTTCAACCCGGTAGTAGTGCCCACATCAGTTAGGTTTAAGTTTCAGTCAGCCTGGGAGAAGTTAAAAAGGGGATTTTCCTTTAGAGAAGAAGTTATTGAAGATAGTTGCCTGTCCTTCGTGGGCAAATTTAGGAATTCACCAGTTGCCCAAATGCTTGGAATCATTTACTTCACTTTACTGAAGACAAGAGAAGTTTCTGTTTGATTGTTCATTAATAAAAGACTTTGTTGTACTTCTCAAACCATCTAAAGACTGTTTGTGGTGGAAACCTCTGAGAACTTCTCTTTAGGCCCCCTGGCTTCCCGTTGGGCAAAGGTTGCACATCCTGTTTTAAAGACAATGGTTTACAGGCCCAGCGCGTGTCAGAACACTAGTACTTCATAGCACAGATACCACCTACTAATAAGACAAATAATATTATGTAGACAAGAAAGGGCAATGATCTACTATAGTAAACAAGAGTAGAGCACAGTTCATACGCCTTGATTTTCTGGGGGTATTTTGTTTTGCCTTCCACAGAAATTGATCTTCCAGCCTAGTTCTTAAAGATACATTATTTGGACTACAACTCCCAGAATCCTCAAGCTACATGGGAGGATTATGGGATCCTTAGAATCAAATAGTTGGAAGAAACCACAAGAGCTATTCAGTCCAACTTCCTGCTAAGCAGGTATACACAATTCTGAGAATTGCAGTCCAGAAAAGTAACCTTCCAAGATCCATTTCTGATTGAACACAGCAGATGAGCCCAACGCTTAAGTACATGACCATGATCACCCATGGAAAGAAGTTGCCACAATGTTTAAGAGTGCCACTCTGTTGCATTTAAATGTTTGGTTTTACCCTTGTTGAATTGCATCATAAAATGACAGTGCAAAGATTAGAACTTATTATTACCTGACTTTCTTCATGGTTTTTCCCATTTTCTGTTTTTGAAATAGATGTGGGTTTTCGGGATTTTAAGTTCCCCATTCCAACCCTTAATGTGCCATCACAGGGTGTCTGTGTATCTTGGAACACTGCCTGGTTTTCCTCTAAGACTATAGTTTTGTCTGGGTAGTTTTCCTTGTTTTCATCTCTAGAAGGAAATAAAAGCACATTTTACTGGCAATGTGAAAAAGTCACCAAAAGAGTGAGCCAACATGTGAGGCTCAAAACAGTATGTTCATGCTTTATTTTTAAATATTAAAAAATATTCAGAAGTACAGTAGGCCCACTTTATATTAACACTCTAGGACAGATTTATGAACAAATGAATTATGTTAAAGCTGCCAAAAGCTGAGAAGATTGTGTTTCTTAATCAAACCTTATATCATATTGGAATAATGGAGAAACTGTCTTATTCCTTTTATGTCAGCTCCACTGGCTGCTGGTCCACCTCTGAGCACAATTCAAAATGCTGGTCTTGGCCTATAAAACCCAATACAGCTTTGGCCCAGCTTACTTGTCCGAACATGTCTCCCTCTATGTTCCACCTCATAATGTAAGATCTACTGGGGAGGCCCTACTCTCAGTCCCACCAGCTTTGCAAACACGTATGGTGGGGACGAGTGACAGGACCTTCTCAGTGGTGGCCCCCCGTTTGCAGAATTCACTCCCCAGCGAATTCTCCCTTCTTTCTTTTAGAAAAAAAACCTAAAATCATGGTTTTGGAGCCAGGCCTTTGGCTAGTGGGCACAGCAGCACTTTAAACACAAAACCTGGACCACAGGACTATTATGACAATTTGAAACGGCTATGTGACTTTGTGATTTGTGACTATGTGATTATGTGATTTTAATTAATGTTACTGTTTTTAATCTGCTATGTATTATGATTTTATATTGTGATATAGTGGCATCGAACTGGTGCCTGTGTAAGCCGCCCTGAGTCCTCCCTCAGGGGTGAGAAGGGCGGGGTAGAAATGGTGTAAATAATAATAATAATAATAATTCCACAACATACCAGTAAATTCAACGAGCTAATTTTGTCTAACAACAAGCTCTGGAAAGTATCTCATCACTATTGGGGAAAACAATGGGAATTCTCTCCAAGCACTACAAAAAATGCCTGGTGTTTCAGAAGCAGTGGGCATGGAAACCTGCCCTTATTGCCAATCACGAATGGGTGAAAAGAGCAGTGTTTCCTCTTTCTGGTTATAAAAAAACCATCCCTTGTTGGATCCAACCATGATGATCAAAGATAAGACAGAAGCCTTGTCTTCCCACCAGAGCCAGCCTTTATTCTAGCACTGGAAGGGAACCTTCGGAGCCTGGAGCAGTTGTCATGATGTATTACCTGCAATTTCATATACAGACAGTCCCCAAGTTACAAACATCTGACTTATAAACAACTCATGGTTAATAGGAGTGAGACAACAGGAAGTGAAAGAAATCTACCCCTAGAAAGGGAAAATCACTCCTGAAAGTGTTATCATGGGGAAAAGATGTCTCAACTGAAGCTTTCTCACTAATCCTTGTTTCCACAACATGCCATTTTTTTCAAAATCCAATGATCACCGGGACAGAAAGTGAGGTTAAATCTTCTGAACTGGGGCACAGACAGCAAAACAAAACACGATAGGGGTGTTAACCCTTCCTAAGCTATTAAACTTAATATATGCACTAGCTGTACCTGGCCATGCATTGCTGTGGCCCTCAGAAAACAGAGGATTTGCAGACATGAAGCAATCTGGGCTAGGGAACTCCTCCCACCAAAGGTTTCCTGCTGGCTAGTAGAAGCCAGGCTGTTAAGGTGCAAGGTGGTATGGAAAATAAAGTAATGAGAAGCAGCCACTGAAGCTGCAAGGCTTTTCGGTTATATTCATGCTGGCCAAAATACTCAGAAAAGCCTCTTTGAAACAGAGGCTGGGTGGCCATCTGTTGGGGGTGCTTTGAATGTGATTTTCCTTCTTCTTCACTGAATGGGGTTGGCCTGGATGTCCCACCAGGTGTCTCCCAACTCTAGGACTCTCTGATTCTATATTCTTCTCTTCCACTCATCAGTTTCCCCCTTTCCCTTTGTTCTATCCCCACCTCTTCCCTTCCCTTCCTTTCCTCTCCCATACCTGCCTCCTTTCCCTTCCTTCCTCTTTCTTTCCTTCTACCTTTCCTTTGATTCATAATCTTCTCTTCTCTTCACCAATCCTTTTCTTCCTTTCTTATCTCCTTTTCCCTTTCTTTCCCCTCCTTCCTCCAGGACAGTTTTTGTGGGGGGGGGGGGTGAAGGGGGGGATGTGGAGCCCAAGTGGGAGAGTTGCTGGCCTCATGGTTCACATCCTCCCTTCACCCACTGGGGGGGGGGGGCAGCCGCTCCTGCAGCCAGGCTTGCCTTGCAATCCTCTGGTCTTGGGGGAAGAGTTGCCTGGTAGCCACATGGGCCTCATGGAGCCTCTGCGGTGGCTCCAGCTGCTGCTGGGGCTTGCCTCACCAAGCCCCCACCCCTCCATTGGGCCAGGCCTTCTCCTTCCTTCCCTCTTTCCTTTCCTCAATCCCTCCCCTCCCCAAAAGAAAAAGGACTCTGCCTTCCTGCATGGAAAGGGACTCCATGGCGAGGCTTCTCTTCCCTCACAACGGTTGGTGCTTCATTCTTCTCACGCAATGGGGAGAGGGGCTTTTGCGCATGCTCTGTAAGACATTTTTCTTTTTGGGGAGTTTTAAGTTATTTCCTCTTCATTTTTTAAGAGTTTTTTGTTTGAAAGACATAGATCGGATTAGAATGTGCTTTGCTGACACATTTGGTGTCAATTTGTCCAGTGGTTTTTGAGTTCTGTTTAATCCCACAAATGAACATTACACTTTTATTTTCATAGATTATATAGATGGCTGGAGTCACACTTAAGAAAGGTACCTGTTCTGACTTACATAAAAATCCAACTTAAGAACAAACCTACAGAACCTAACCTATCTTGTGCATAACTTGGGGACTGCCTGCATCTGTGGAAAGTCCTGGAACAGATCCCCTGCAGATGTGGGAATTGTACTATATTAAACTTATATCTTACTTTTATTTACAGAAAACTTGAAGTGGTTTACACAGGAAATATTTTTTCCTTCAGGCATTCATCCAACTAAAGACTCTTTAATATAACCAAGCACATGCTGCTGAGCCATTTCTCAGTAGGGTTTAAAAGAATACTGGACAATGTTCACAAAGTTCAGGAACTTAACATGGGATTTCAGTACTGAAGGGAATCTTTATAGTTTGAAACTTCTGTGTCAAATCTGAACATGATTAAAAACTTCTTTGGAAGCTTTTAAACAGAGGCTGGATGGCCATCTGTCAGGGGTGATTTGAATGCATTATTCCTGCTTCTTGGCAGGGGGTTGGACTGGATGGCCCATGAGGTCTCTTCCAACTCTTTGATTCTATGATTCTATGACTCTATGATGTATAGGTGTCTGAAGAAAATACTATTTCCTGTGTATTATGATACCTATATTATGGAACCAGTATCTTTGATTTCACTGATATCCATCTGACAAAATATGTCCTCTCCAGACATATTCTAGGTCCACCACTGTGACTTTAATATGCTTCCACTGGAAGTCTAGACAGTGGCTGCTTTCATCTTAGAAGGGCAATAAGTCCACTCTAGGCTTTAGTCTGAACTTTAAAGGAACTGTCCTTGCAATTGAAACTTAATCCAGACAAGACAGGGGTCCTACTGGTCAATCGTAAGGCCGAACAGGGCATAGGGTTACAGCCTGTGTTTGACGGGGGTCACACTCCCCCTGAAGGCGCAGATTCACAGCTTGGGAGTGATCCTGGACTCATCGCTGAGCCAGAAACCCTGGGTTTTGGCAGTGGCCAGGAGAGCTTTTGCACAGTTAAAACTTGTGCGCCAGCTGCGCCCATACCTTGGGAAGCCTGACTTGGCCACAGTGGTCCATGCTCTTGTTACATCCTAAATAGACTACTGCAACACACTCTACGTGGGGTTCCCTCTGAAGACTGCCCGGAAGCTTCAACTAGTCCAACGTTCGGCAGCCAAGTTGCTCACTGGGGATGGTACAGGGAGCGCACAACGCCCTTGTTACGCCAGCTCCACTGGCTGCCTATTAGCTTCCAAGCACAATTCAAAGTGCTGGCTTTGGCCTATAAAGCCCTGAACGGTTCTGGCCCAGTTTACTTGTCCAAATGTATCTCCCACTACAATCCACCTAGGGCCCTAAGATCATCTGGGGAGACCCTGCTCATTGTTCCCCCCATTGTCGCAATCGTGTTTGGGGGGACAAGGGAGAGGGCCTTTACTGTGGTAGCCCCCCGACTATGGAACTCCCTCCTGAGTGAAATTAGATCTGCTACATCCCTCTTGACCTTCCAGAAACAAGTAAAATCCTGGCTATGGGATCAGGCCTTTGTAGATTAGGGCGACTTGCTGACATGTTGACTTATATAGAACTGATGGACTGCCCTTGGATGATGATTTAAACTAGCGACCACTGACTGATTGATTGGTTGTTTTTATACTGTTTTATACTGTTTTATGTTGTTTTATACTGTTTATACTGTTTTATATTGTTATTATTATATTGCCATTAAATTGTGTATCTATGTTTTTGATGTGGGCGTCATGAGGTGCCGATTTGTTAGCCATCCTAAGTCCCTCTGTGGAGGTTGAGATAGGATGGGATATAAACGCCCAAAATAAATAAATAAACCGCATATACCGCGGAGTATAAGCTGACCCGAATATAAGCCGAGACACCTAATTTTACCACAAAAATCTGGGAAAATGTATTGACTCGAGTATAAGCCGAGGGTGAGAAATGTAGTAGCTGGTAAGTTTCAAAATAGAAATAGATACCAATAAAATTACATTAATTGAGGCATCAGTAGAGTAAATATTCAAAAATATTTACATAAAATTGTAATTTAAGACAAAGCTGTCCAACTCTGATTAAACCATTATTCTAACCTTCTTCAATGCAAATGTGCTTGCATATCCTTCCAATAATAATAAAGGGAGTAAAATAATAAATGTAATAACAACAATAATAGAGAAAATAATAAATGTTATAATAACAATAAAGAGTAAGATAATAAATGTAATAATAATAATAATAATAAATAGAATAAATTAATAAATGCAATAAAAATAATACTAATAAAATAGTAAATAACATTGACTCGAGTATAAGCCGAGGAGAGATTTTTCAGCCTAAAAAAGGGGCTGAAAAACTAGGCTTATACTCGAGTATATACAGTATATATATTTTAGGAGCAGTGTAAAGTACCTTGAACAGTTACTTTAAAGTGCAAATTAAAACCTAGAATGGATTCACTATTCCACTGATATTGAAACCACTAACCGACACTGTTCTCAGTGTAAAGACTCTTCATTTGCACAACACACACCCTTTTTTGAAAATAGGATGAGTACAACTCCTAAAAGAATTTTCATAAGCTCTGCTCATTTTTTTTTAAACATCTCTAATCTTCTTTCCTCCAAAGACCCTTCCACACAGCCATCTAACTCAGAATATCAATGCAGAAAATCCCACAATATCTGCTTTGAACTGGGATATCTGAGTCCACACTGCCATATATTCCACTTCAAAGCAGATAATGTAGGATTTTATTCAGTTGTGTGGAAGGGGCCCAAGAGAAAATTTCACAATGTGCCTCACTTTTTTGCAACACTTGGGTTACAATGATGGGCTACACCAAGGGGACAGAACACATTTAACAGAGCACAGATTTAAAATGACATTTATCTCCTTTTCGGAGGGAATAAAATCTACTTGCTACATTTTAAATATTTGATGAATACAATAGCAAGATACCTTTGAATAGAACTGGCTGCTTGGTCTTCATGTACAGACTCTGTCTCTTCGCCACACCTTGAAAATGGACATGAAATAATTATTGACTTCCTGCTGTCGGGTTACTTTACCATTCAGTTAAAATGCAAGAGAGTGATTGTCCAAGAAATTCTCTAATAAATACAGATATTCCTTTTCACATATTCAAAACACTCATGTAAACTCAGACAGCTATCAAATTGATATCCCAAATAAGTATTTCCTCCTTGTTTAATTCAAAGTGGAGCAGTTATCCCTCCCAATCTTTTTCCAGAGTAAAGATATTAGCAAAAAGTCCAGAGCCTGGAAGCAGGCATGTAGCCGGGGGGGGGGGGGGGGCTTCAGCCCCCCCCCAATCTTGGTGGTCCACGAGAAGGCCTTACTGGTGCATTATTTAAACTGTTATGTTTATTCATATCATGATCTGATCACCATGCTCAATATATCCCATATGCATGGGGGTATTGGGGTAACGATACAAAAGGTTTGCTAGGGTAGACCCTCTTTCACTCAGACTCAGCCCCCCCCCCCCCAAATCAAAATCCTGGCTACGGGCCTGCCTGGTAGGGTTCAGATTTGTGCTGAATTAATGCACACGTATTGCGAAATGGGTTGTGTCCTCATAAATTCTCTAGATTTAAGGAAACAAGGACTAAGGAATCATATCAGCTCCTACAATGGAAAGAAGGTTGAGATCTTCTAATATCACCATAGAAATTGGTGCAATAGTTATGCTGAGCTCTGATAAGGTGAGAAATCCTCATTGAAAAGGATCCTAGAGATGAGTTCTAGTGCCTTGGATTCCCTTAGGACAGGGGTCCACAAACTTTTTAAACAGAGAGCCAGGTCATAGTCCCTCAAACGGTTGGAGGGCCGGATTATAATTTGGAAAATTTTGTAGTACAAAAACACTTTAGAACAATATAATAATTAAAATGAAGAACAATTTTAACAAATATAAACTTATTAGTATTTCAGTGGGAAGTGTGGGCCTGCTTTTGCCTGATGAGTTAGGGTTGTTGTTGTTGTGTGCTTTCCAGTAGTTTCAGACTTAGGTTGACCCTGAGTGAGGGCCGGGTAAATGACCTTGGAGGGCCATATTCGGGCTCCGGGACGTAGTTTGAGGACCCCTGCCTTAGGAAATGAGAATTGCCCATGTTTTAAGTATTACTCCTCTTTTGGATTTACTGAGTAGGTTGTAATTACAATCCCACTGATGCCAGCACCAAAATTCTCACTTTCTTTGAAAAATTAGTTTTATACAAACAGTACATGCTACCATCTGACTTACAAGTAATAATGTTCATCTATATAAATAAAATGTAATGTTCGTTTTTGGGATTAACATATCTCAAAAACCACTGGACAAATTGACACCAAATTTGGACACAATATGCCTATCAAGCCAATGAGTGACCATCACTCATAAAATCACTGAAAAACACAGTGGAAAATACTTAAAAAGCCAAAAAAAAGATGCTAAAGCGCATGCGCAAAAACGACTCCCCTGGCAAACAAAACACACAACAGCATAGCCACACTTTCTTCTGGACTACAGCTCCCAGCATCCCCTAGGAGAGGAGGATCATCCAAATGCACTGCTTCCAAGATGCAAGCTTGCTTCTCCTTGGATTTCTTTGAGAGCATCCCAATCCCTGCATATTTCCAACTTCCTGTTCCTGGACTACAACTCCCAGCAATCCTCCAGATAGATAAGATATATAGATTAGATATAGATAGATAGTAGGTAGATAGATCAATCAGGAGGACTGCTGGGAGTTACAGTCCAAGAATAGGTAGAGAAGGAAGAAAGGAGAGAAAGAAAAGGAAAGAGGTAGAGAAGGAAGGAAAGAAAGAAGGAGGGAGGGAGGGCGGGAAGGCAGGGAGGGCAGGGAGGGAGGGAAGGCAGGGAGGGAGGGAAGGAAGGAAGGAGAGAAAGAAGGAGAAAAAGAGGGATGGAAGGTTGGCCACAGCAACGCATGGTGGGTACAGTTAGTTATGAAATAAAGAAGTATCAGGACATGTTGGGTGAGATCCCAGTTCAGTCATACTTTGACAGGACTTTTTTGAAATCAATAAATTCAACCAAGGAGAATTCAACCAAGAGGAAAATAGCATGATGGTCTTATGTTTCCTCTGTTGCGGGGATATTCAAGTTGCACATGACTCCTTCATCTGGACTTCTGGGTGCACATGAAGCTGATGTAATTTCATCTTGTATGAGCTGGATAATTCAGGAACATTAGTCCAATTTTCGTTAACACAAGATGGAGGGGAGGGGAGATACTGCAAACGTTTCCGTGCCCAATGTGTTCACTATTAAATCACAAAAGAAGCAGTACTGTAGCAATGTTTCTTTTGAAACATTGTTCAATTGAGATTGTATGATCACTAAAGAATCTGCACTGAAATACAATCACATTAGCTGTAGCTACCTGGCCAACGAGAAACAGAATAAGAGGTTCACAGATTCCCCCTTATTCTAAGAAGAGCCAGGCTGAATCAGACCAAAGGGCCATCCAACCACGCTCCCTGGGCACCCTGACCAGGAGTGAAAGATGATGGATGATGATTCATCCTGGAAAGAAGTGACAAACGGAGTGCCATCAGCAGGACCGTCCTGGGCCCGGTCCTGTTCAACATCTTTATTAATGACTTAGATGAAGGGCTAGAAGGCATGATCATCAAGTTTGCAGATGACACCAAGTTGGGAGGGATAGCCAATACTCCAGAGGACAGGAGCGGAATTCAAAACGATCTTGACAGATTGGAGAGATGGGCCGAAACTAACAAAATGAAGTTCAACGGGGACAAATGCAAGATACTCCACTTTGGCAGGAAAAACGAAATGCAAAGATACAGAATGGGGGACAATGCCTGGCTCGAGAGCAGTACGTGTGAAAAAGATCTTGGAGTCCTCGTGGACAACAAGTTAAACATGAGCCAACAATGTGATGTGGCGGCAAAAAAAAGCCAATGGGATTTTGGCCTGCATCAATAGGAGCATAGTGTCTAGATCTAGGGAAGTAATGCTACCCCTCTATTCTGCTTTGGTTACACCACACCTGGAATATTGTGTCCAATTCTGGGCACCACAATTCAAGAGAGATATTGACAAGCTGGAATGTGTCCAGAGGAGGGCGACTAAAATGATCAAGGGTCTGGAGAACAAGCCCTATGAGGAGCAGCTTAAGGAGCTGGGCATGTTTAGCCTGAAGAAGAGAAGGCTGAGAGGAGATATGATAGCCATGTATAAATATGTGAGAGGAAGCCACAGGGAGGAGGGAGCAAGCTTGTTTTCTGCTTCCTGGAGACTAGGATGCGAAACAATGGCTTCAAACTACAAGAAAGGAGATTCCATCTGAACATGAGGAAGAACTTCCGGACTGTGAGAGCCGTTCAGCAGTGGAACTCTCTGCCCCAGAGTGTGCTGGAGGCTCCTTCTTTGGAAGCTTTTAAACAAAGGCTGGATGGCCATCTGTCAGGGGTGATTTGAATGCAATATTCCTGCTTCTTGGCAGGAGGTTGGACTGGATGGCCCATGAGGTCTCTTCCAACTCTTTGATTCTATAATTTTATGATGATGATGATGATGATGATGATGATGATGATGATGATGATGATGGCAATAACTCCTGGTTGGGGAAATGGCAGCTTGACTATCTGCTTTGTGCTCCAGGCAGACGAAGCAGCAGAATGGTTGGCGAACTGTCATAATTCCTCCAGACAAGGAAGAGAAAAAATATTCAGGATCACTGCTCCTCATGAGGAAGCCACCAATTGCATCAATCTAGAAGAAGTTAGTCAACCAAGTCTGTCCTTCTGTAATTTTTATTTTAAAGCAAATGAAAGTCTCTCTTTGCTATATACACCAAATGCACAAACTTAACTGCTCATCACATTTAACTGCTCATCACTGTAGTCATCGTGGATGTGGCAAACCGCCCGGAAACTTATATGTTCTTCAGGAATTGTCATCCACAGCCTTAAGGAAAGGTGGTAAATGACTTGACCTCTGCAAATGGCACTCTGATGATTTTCCTCTTCTCAACTTTACAGAGGAAAAGCGTGCGGAAACAGAACGCATGAGTCACTGACACTTTCTGTCCTTGCCGCCCCCTTGTTTCTTGCAGATATCTGAAGCAGTCCTTTATCCTCTGAATATTTTTAAAATACTACCTAGAACGAAGCAGTCCAAATCCTGCAGGAAAAACTACAGCTATCACAAAATCAAAAAAGTACTTAATTTTCATTTTTTAGGTTCTGATTATGGAACAAATACTTCCCTGCACATTCAGATTTTCCTTTTTTAACAAGTGGAATAAACACTGAGAACTGGGAAGCCCTGACCCTTGAGTATTCTAACTGAAGTTGAGCTGTTACCAACAATGCTATGAATTTTTGAAGAGGCACAAATAGAGGTTGAAAGGGAGAAATGTGCTAAGAGAAAGATGCACCAAGCAAACCCTTGTAGTGACCTCCTACCACTTGAAAATCTATGTCCTCACAGATAGCCACAGCTTTTTGGAAACAAATCCACGAGATATGTCAAAAGATTTTAAAGAAAAATATTCCATTAAAACCAGATTTTTTTTTCTTTTAGGAATGACAAACTTACAACCAAACTCCAACGAGGAGATTAGAGAGATGGGCCAAAACTAACAAAATGAAGTTCAACAGGACAAATGCAAGATACTCCACTTAGGCAGAAAAAAATGAAATGCAAAGATACAGAATGGGTGACGCCTGGGTCGAGAGCAGTATGTGTGAAAAAGATCTGGAGTCCTCGTGGACAACAAGTTAAACATGAGCCAACAATGTGATGTGGCGGCAAAAAAAGCCAATGGGATTTTGGCCTGCATCAATAGGAGCATAGTGTCTAGATCCAGGGAAGTCATGCTCCCCCTCTATTCTGCTTTGGTTAGACCACACCTGGAATATTGTGTCCAATTCTGGGCACCACAATTCAAGAGAGATATTGACAAGCTGGAATGTCCAGAGGAGGGCGACTAAAATGATCAAGGGTCTGGAGAACAAGC